TTAGCCAATAGACAAACAGTTATACCTACAATATTGGCATGGATGCCACCTTCAATATTGATCACACGACATCAGCCTTTCTAGAGATGCATAATGACCAAGCAAACAAAAGCCCAATAACTTATTGCTACATACTCCACGGTGTCATTTTCTTCAAAAGATGTAAGATTTTAACCTTCCAACCACCCTAAAATACAACCAATTAATTGATTTGAATATATCATCTACTCGAATCAAATTATAAGAAAAGAGAACAATGCAAATCCACATTTAAATCAAGTATTGTGAAAACACTTCTAGTTCATTATAAATAAATAGAGTAATAATAATAAAAACAACAACAAATAAAATGCTAATTATTTAGGCTTTATAATCAATAGCGAAGTTAACTAAAAATAATTATTAACATGTGAAACTGAAGTTCAAATTATTTTTGAACTAATTGTGGGATGGGGAGTTATTTTTATCGTGAATAGGTTGTGTTATTTGTCTTTTGTGTAGCATTTATAACTTTCAAATTGGATTTCTTGAAATGTTTATGAGTTATTGAAAGTATTAAAAATTGTACCTCTTCATACAAAACACATCAACAACTTGGTTTAGAGGCATGTAGCTTCATGACTTATATGACTACCTCTTCAATACAAGTTCAATCACTTAAAATTGTTTCCCTATAAAAAGGCATTTATTGTTCTTCAACGTGGTTAAACTAGTTGCATAACTTCCACATAAGCAATCAAGCCACATGTTTGGTACCTAAATCAATGATGAATAGGTATGGCATTCAATACAAGTTCAACCACTTAAAATTGTTTCCCTTAGGGGATTTGGTGTATGATGAATAGGTATGGTATGTTTTGTAGAAGTCCGATAAATAAAATGAAATTAGGGTATTATTTTGTGATGATCTAGCACCACAAGCCTAGCCCAATTAAGAAACGAGCTATAGAAGCTCAACCCATTTAAGATTATGAAATTTCAAGCTATAATGATATTAAAAGCCCAACAATTTAAAAGATTAAGTGTAAGTAAATTTTATGACAAAGATTTAATGAATAACTAGATTGTCTCAATGGTCATCTACATCGTATTTCATATTGGCAACCAACATTCGAATACCATGTAGATGTTTTTATAAAATATTTTTACAAAATTATTTTTTAGTTAAAAACTCCTCATTTTTCACTTTAAGAACAATTATATCGAACTAATTGGATGAAAGAACTATTTTATTATTAGGCATTGATAATTAAAGATAGCTTACAAAGCATATGAATGCTTCATTTTCATTTATTTTCATTATGTAAATGTTTTTATAAAACTTTTTTGTATGAATTATTTTTTATGGTTTAAAAACTCTTTAAATTCTCAGTTGAAGACCCAATTTAACAAACTTAATAATAATACAACTCCCTATTTTAGTTTTTTATTTATTAAAAAGGAATGTCACTTTTTCACCACATCTCTCCTCAAATCCGAATTTACTATTATTTTCTCTCAAAAATATACTTCATATCAAGCTAAGCTTAAGGGAATAGCAAGGGTGTGAAGAAGAAATGTTTTTTTTTTTACACATTTTATTCTTTTATATCCAAGAAAAATTAAGGTAGGTAGAGGTGAAAGTGTCATTTGATTTTCAAATTATACTTTTTCGTTAAAAGTTTGAATGAAATGGTACTTCCAGGTACAGTGCTTCGGCACTACTATATTTTGAATGATTATTATCCGGCTCTACGTGTTATAATAATGATATAGAAATCAAATTTTTGTTAGAAGCCCATCTACGTGCGATGGTGGATTTGATTTCCTTGGGGGCATGGATGATGGTAGATGGAGATGTAACGTGCCATAAATAAGTCGGTAATTTAATGTCTTTAATTCGATTATGAAATGTTCACATTTTCTTTTAAATAGATGTCTATGGACATCATATGTGGAACTATTTTACGAACATTTCTTTCTGAATAAGTTATGTTTAAAAGTAGATATGTAATTTATGAGACTGTTTACGAGAAAAAAAAGTGTTAGCGATTTACTGTTGCTGTTTCCTTAAAATTTCAGCTTCCGTCTTGACTTTAAAAATTCATAACTTAGTTGTTAGGTGGAATTTTTAGACAAAACCAGTGGTGTTTGATAGTGTTATAGGTTAGCTACTATATAAACTTGGAATTATGTCAATCTGATGTCACTAGAATTTTATTTACGTAAAGTACACTAGATAGTGTTTGCTGTTTTTAGCTTCTGCCCTTGGTTTCGAAAATTCATAACTCAATCATTACTTAGAATTTTTAGATGAGACCAATGGGATTTGATAATCTCATGGATTAGCTAATGAATAAAGTTGAAATCATTTCATACTGATATCTATGGAATTTTATACGTTATTTTAAGTGAACTACACTGATTTACTTTCCAACCAAGTTGCTATGAGGTATTGGAAAATATTTTAAAATCTCATATGTTGCCGACAGAAGCCGATTTTTGGATATGTCATAATGAAAGAAGTTTTCTACCCCTCCCCCCCCAAAATCTCGTGAAGTTTTGAGATTGATAACTTTGTAAACGAATTTATTTTAATAGTTGCCGTTTGACAAGGAAAAGAAAAAGGGCAAGATTGTTTTTTTTCATTTCCTGCCTTTAACATTCACGCCAACAATAGATACGTGAATGAAAATCACTCCAAAGACCTTTCTTGAATTTGTTTCCTTTGACAATTAAATTGCGCCATAAAAAAAAGATAAATATAAATATAGTACCTAAATAAATTCTTAAATGAAATCTTTATACTTTCCGCGAAAATATGGCTAATTATTAAGTTTATGGCTAAAGTACAGTTAAACTAGTGACGTTCAGTCCGTCCGGGCCGGGGCGTTATAACGTGGTATCAAAGCCTAAGTTTAGTCGATTTTGTAGACTCGCCTTTTTTTTTAATATATTATCTAAGTACAAATAAGAAATTTAAAGATGAGAAAAATAAAATATTTAAGACAATAAATGGCATCTCGCATCCATTAGTCGACCTCATCCTACAACAAGGGCAATTGTATTTACAACAAGATCCCAATAAAGAAACTAAGATTTAATGCTCTCAAGATACTGTATGAATGTTATTCTATTAATACAAGCCGTGTCTTATATATATATATATATATATATATAATTCTAGTCAAGTGTAGAAGTAATTCCCTATTTTTTTCAAGTATTATGGTAATCGTAAATGAAGTCAATGAGAGATATTATATCTTATTTCAAGAAAAATGTCTCGAGCAAACTAGAACAATTTGATAAAGGACCTCCTGCAAGCGGTTCAAGATCTTGCCAGGCTGAATCAGATTCCAGCTCACCCACACCACCAGCTCCTTTCACTTTCCCGACTTATGCCTCGGTGGCTGAGTTATTTCGAAGGCATAAGCCCCCTATCTTCGATGAAGCATCTGATACACTAGTAGTTCAGGAATGACTTCGTAAGTTAGAACGAATTTTTCGACTCATAGATTGTATTGAGGCCCAAAAGGTCCAGTGTGCGAAGTTTATGTTTACCGATGATACAGGTCACTGGTAGGATTCGATGTCCTGGACTAGGACCTCGGAGCAACAATTGGTGTTAACTTGGGAAAAATTCAAGGAGGAAGTAATGGACAAGTATTTTCCCCAGTCTCTAAGGGATTTCAAGAAGAGCAAATTCTTTCAACTCAAGCAGGGTAATATGTCCCTTACTGATTATGAGCGAGAATTCGATCCACTCTCAAGGTATGCTCCACACCTGGTTGACATAGAAATTAAGAAAACTCGAAGGTTCGAGCAAGGGTTAAACCCAGACATAAGTATGATTCTTATATCATATCATTTTATATCATACCGTGAGATGCTGGAATGAACTCATGCTATTTGGTATCAGAAGGAAAATGCAGAGCATCACCGTCAATTGTACAACGAACAGGATAAAGGGCAAGTTGGAAAGAGAAAATGGAATGGTCAAGACAAAGGAAAAGGAAAATGGAAAATAAGAAGGCTAACATTGAATCTAGTGACAGTAAGGCTATAATAGCTGTAGTTGAGCTTTGCCTTAAGTGTGGTAAGCCTCATCGTGGTGAATGCTTGTATGAGAAGAATGCTTATTTTGGTACAGTAAGCCAGGACTTATCGCTAAGAAATTCCCATGTTTACTCAAAAGAAGGATGATAACAATAATTAGAACAAAAAGGGAAAAGCACAAGTTTTTATAATGTCTCAGAATGATGCAGAGGAGAACTCAAACATGACAGCAGGTATTTTACTGATATCTGATATACGTAGATGTACTGTTTGGTTCAGGAACTACTCACTCTTTTGTATCAATGTCTTTCATTGTTAAATCTAGTAATACTTGTGATAAGTCAGAAAGTACACTAGAAGTTAGCATTCTTTCAGGTAGAATATTAAATATAGATCGATTAACTAAGTTGGTGAATCTTGAAATTGAGGGAAAAACATTAGAAGCCAATTTATATCTAATAGAGATGAAAGTTTTTGATGTGATTTTGGCATGAATTGGTTATGATGTAATTATACAACCATTCGTTGTAGAGAAATGGAAGTGTCTTTCAAAAACTAGGAGAAGAACAATTTTCTTTTCTAGGAATAAAGACCAAACCCCATCTTCAACTATTATCGGCCATACAAGCCAAGAAAGTGTTGAGAAGAGAACATCTCAAGGGTTTTTCTTAACGTCTCAGGAGGAAAACATGCAACAAAAAAGATTGAGGACGTATCAGTAGTACAAGAGTTTATAGATTTATTTCCAGAAGATCTACTTAGTATTCCACCAAATAGACAAGTGAAATTCACAACAGATCTAGTATTCGGAGTGGCACAGTATCTAAAGCTCCATACATAATGGCTCCAAAGAACTTCAAGAGTTAAAAATTCAGCTACAAGAATTGTTAGACAATGACTCTATTTGACCAAGTGTATCCCCATGGGACACACCAGTGTTGTTTGTAAAGAAAAAAGATGGAAGTATGAGGATATGTATCGACTATAGGGAGTTGATTCGTTTGACCATCAGGAATAGGTATCCTTTCATGAAAATTAAGGATTTGCTTGATCAATTGAATGGGGCTAAGGTATTTTTCAAGACCGATTTACGATCTGGATATCATCAATTGAAGGTTAAGGTAAGCGATATACCAAAGACAACTTTTAGAAATTGTTATGGACATTACGAGTTCACAGTTATGCCATTCGGGTTGACAAATGCTTCAAATGAATCGTGTATTTCATTAGTATTTAGATCAATTTGTCATAGTCTTCATTGAAAACATTTTGATATACTCCAAGAATAAAGATCAACATGAGGAACATCTTAGAATAACACTAGAAATATTACGCAAGGAGAAGTTATATGCCAAATTTAAAAAGTACAAGTTTTGGCTAGAATCACGATCGGGAAGCAAATCCAAATAGAAGAACTCACATTGGATTTAGGGATAATCAGGCTCAAACTGATGACTTCCACCACATCAACGTGACACTCTACTGCTGAGTTATATCCCTTCCCTGCCCCCATTGAGAAATAGAAAGAGTTGGATTCCTTGGAAGCTATGGAACTTGGGTGTGGGTCTTTGGAATGGCTTTTTCTTTTTATTTATTATTTGTCATGTAGTTACTATCCAAGGAATTGAAGTAGATCTAGTAAAGGTAGAAGCAGTGACTAATTAGGGGACACCGACTATGCTGATAAAGTTCAAAGTTTTCTGGGATTGACTAAATACTATCGAAGATTTATAGCCGGATTCTCCAAAATAGCTGGACCAATGACGTAATTGACAATGAAAAGAGTAAAGTTTCAATGGATAGATTAGTGTGAGCAAAGTTTACACTAGCTAAAGCAACGATTGGTTACAGCACCCGTGTTAACCATACCTGAAGGTTCGGCAAGGTTTGTTATATACAGTGATGCATCAAACCAAGGCTTGGGATGTGTACTGATGCAGCATGGAAAAGTGTTTGCCTATTCGTCAAGCCAATTGAAGCAACATGAGCAAAACTACCTGACACATGATCTAGAACTTGCGACGGCAGTACATGCACTAAAGATATGGCACCATTACTCATATGGAGGAAAGTACGACATTTATACGGATCATAAGAGTCTCAAATATTTTTTCGCATAGAGGAATTGAATATGAGACAGAGACGATGGTTGGAACTAGTAAATGATTATGATTGTACTATTCATTTCCATCCTAGTAAGGCTAATGTTGTCACTGATGCTCTAAGTAAAAAGTTAATGGGACAGCTGGAATCATTACCTACTACTTAGATGGAGTTAATTAAAGACTTGAAGAATTTATGAATCAAAATGGTTACCACGCCAGAGTAAGTCATTGCTCGTTTAGCAACTTTGTGGTTCGACCTACTCTTAGAGATCGGATCATAGAAGCACAGAGTAAAGATCTATTTTTGCAGAAGATCAAAAACAAGATTGGTACTGATAAGAGAAAAGATTGTGGAGTAGCTTTGGATCAGGTACTAATGTTTAAAGGAAGAATTTGTGTACCTACGGACGATGTTTTGAGGAATGAGATATTGGAGGAGGCTCATTTCACACCATACATTGCATATCCTAGTGGTACGAAAATGTATCGAGACATTCTAGATACATTTTAGTGGAGGAATATGAAAAGAAGTACATTCTTTTTTGTGGAAAAATCCACAGCGTATCAATAAATTAAAGTAGAACATCAAAGATCGGTAGGATTGTTAAACCCATTGGAAGTACCTGAATGGAAATGGGAGAATATCGCAAAGGACTTTGTTGTAGGATTTTCAAAGTTAGCAAGAGGACACAATACTATATGGGTCATAGTGGATCGTCTAACAAAGTCCACTCATTTTCTTCTAGTAAAAATGATATTTAGTCTAGATCAGCTAGTGTAGTTGTACATTGGATAGATTGTACGATTGCATGGTATCCTCACATCTATTCTATCTAATAGAGATTCGAGATTTACATCAAAGTTTTGGAAAAACTTATAAGGAGCTATGGGAACAAAATTACATTTCAATACGGCGTATTACCCTCAATCCGATGGTCAGTCTAAAAGGACCATTCAAACTTTGGAAGATATGCTTAGGACCTGTGTTTTTGATATAAGAGGTAATTGGGAACCGTAACTACATTTGCATATAATAATAGTTTCCAAGTAATTATTAGAATGGCACTGTATCAAGGTCTCTAGGGTAGAAGATGTAGATCGCCTATTCATTGGGATAAGGTTGGAGAAAAGAGAGTTTTGGAGCCAGAGATCATTGAAAGGACAGTCGAAATTGTTGACAAGATCCATACTAGGATAAAGGCAGCGCAAGATAGACAAAAGATGCCAAAAGAAAGGACTTGGAGTTTCAAGTTGGGGATAAAGTCTTTTTAAAAGTGGCACCCATAAAGAGTATACTTAGGTTCGACGAGAAAGGCAAACTACGACCTCGTTATATCGGACCTTTTGAAGTACTTGAAAGGGTTGAAAATGTAGCTTATCAATTGGCTTGCTTGAACTATCAGCAGTTTACAACGTGTTTCATATATCAATGATCATGAAGTATATGCATGATCCTAATCACGTGGTCAATTATCAATTCGTGGAAGTACAGAATGATTTATCTTATGAGGAATTACTGATTAAAATATTGGATCGAAAGGTACATAAATTACAGAACAAGGACATTCAACTGGTCAAAGTGCAATAGGATAATCATGGAGTAGAATAATCTACTTGGGAAAGAGAAGAAGAAATCAAAGGCAAATATCCGACACTCTTTGCCACTCCATAAGGTAAATTTCGAGGATGAAATTTTGTTTAAGGTGTAAAGGATGAAAAAGCTCGAGAAATAAAATAAATTTGGCTATTATTTTGTGATGATCTAGCACCACGAGCTTAACCCAATTAAGAAACGATCTATAGAAGTTCAACCTATTTAAGATTATGAAAGCCCAAGCCATAAGTTAATTAAAAACCCAACAATTTAAAAGATTATGTATAAGTAAATTTGACGACAAAAATTTAATGAATAACTGGATTGCCTCAATGGTCATATACACCGTATTTTATATAGGCAACCTAGGTTTGAAACACCATGTAGATGTTTCTATAAAATATTTTTACAAAATTATTTTTTTAGTTAACAACTCATCATTCTGTACTTTAAGAACAAAAATATCAAGTTAACTGGATGAAATAATTATTTTATTATTAGGCATTGATAAAGATATGTTACAAAGCATATGAATGGTTCATTTTCATTATGTAAATGTTTTTATAAAACTTTTCGTATGAATTATTTTTTTATGCCTTAAAAACTCTTTAAATTCTTAGTTAAAGATCCAATTCAATAAACTTAATGATAGTACAACTCCCCCATTTTGTTATTTTTTTTATTAAAAATGAAGGTTACAAGAAGAGGAATGTCACTTTTTCATTATACCTCTCCTCAAATCCGAATTTACTCTTATTTTCTCTCAAAAATATACTTCATGTCAAGTTAAGCTTAAAGGAATAGCAAGGATGTGAAGAAGAAATGCCTTTTTTTTTCCCTACACATTTTGTTATTTTGTATCCCAAAAAAAAATAAAAAAAATCAAGGTAGATAGAGGTGAAAATGTTATTTTGTTTTCGAATTATGATTTTTGTTAAAAGTTTGAATGGAATGGTACCTCCGGGTACGGTGTTTCGGCACTACTATATTTTGAATGATCATTATCCGACTCTACGTGTTACAATAATGATACAGAAATCGGATTTTTGCTAGAAGTCCATCTGCGTACGAGGGTTGATTTGATTTGCCTAGGGGCATGGATGATGATAGATGGAGATGCAACGTGCCATAAAGAAGCCGGTGATTGAATGTCTTTAATTCGATTAAGAAATGTTCGCGTTTTCTTTTAAATAGATTTCTATGGACATTGTATGTGGAACTATTTTACAAACAATTCTTTATGAATAAGTTATGTTTAAGAGTAGATATGTGCTCTAGAAATTAACTTACGAAATACCGTTTGTAAGAAAAAAAGTGTTAGCGATTTATTGTTGCTGTTTCCTTAAAATTTCAGCTTTTGCCTTGACTTTAAGAATTCATAACTTAGTTGTTACTTCGAATTTTTAGACAAAACCAGTGGCGTTTGATAGCCTTATAGTTAGTCATTGAACAAACTTAGAATCATGTCAATCTGATGTCAGGAGAATTTTATATGTCACTTAAAGTAAAATGCACTAGATAGTGTTGCTGTTTTCAGCTTCTGTCCTCGGTTTCAAAAATTCATAACTCAATTGTTACTTGAAATTTTTGGATGGGACCAATGGGTTTTGATAATCTCATGGATTAGCTAATGAATAAAGTTGAAATCATGTCATTCTGATATCTATGAAATTTTATACGTTATTTTAAGTGAACTGCACTGATTTACTTTCCAGCCGAGTTGCTGCGAGGTTTTGAAAAATATTTTAACATCTCATATGTTGCCAACAGAAGCTGGTTTTTGGATATGTCATAATGAAAGAAGTTTTCTACCCTCCCCTAAAATCTCATGAAGTTTTGAGATTGATAACTATGTAAACGAATTTATTTTAATAGTTGCCGTTTGACAAGGAAAAGGAAAACAGCAAGATTGTTTTTTTTTATTTCCTGCCTTTAACATTCACGTCAACAATAGATATATGCATGAAAATCACTCCAAAGACCTTTTTTGAATTTGTTTCCTTTGAAAATTAAATTGCGTCATAAAAAAAAGATAAATATAAACATATAATACTTAAATAAATTCTTAAATTAAATATTTATGCTTTCCACGGAAATATTATTAATTATTAAGTTTATGGCTAAATTACAGTTAAACTAGTGTTGTTCAATCTATACGGATCGGGACGTTACATGTTTTATTGGATTTGGTGAGAAGGAAGTCTTGGAAATATAAATGCCAAATTTCTTTTTCTGTTTGACAATTTTGTGCGCAATGGTCATTTACTAAAAAAAGAGAGAGAAGTCTTGGAAATATAAATATGACAAATTTATCAAGGCCAATTTCTCAAAGGTTCAATTATTTATAGTCATGCATTAAAAAAATAATAAATAAAAATAAATAAAAGAAGTCAATCTTGGAAATATAAATATTTAAATATAGGCATTTTTCATTTATTTTTAATAAATTGTTCGTTACTCATACATAAAAAATTCATCACCTTGGGAGCTGAGACTTTTGTACCATGCATAGAAAATCACCTCAAACGATTCAAGACATATATGGTTATCCATAGCACAGGAGTTCAATGAATGTTAAACTTATTCCTATTAGGAAGCATTGATTAAGCTTCTTCAGTGTTTGGTACCTAGATGAAATGAGATAGAAATTACATTCTTTGGATACAAGTGACAAATTGTTAGAATCCACACGTGGCAACAACTATTTTATTTGAGCTGCAGGACAAAAGTTTCATTGAAAAAAAAAAAAAGAAACAAAAAGAAAAAAGAAAAGAATACTACGTTAAAAATTGTTAAATTAAATAATGGTAAAATATATATTCGAGATTGACTTGTTTACTATGTCTTTTATGACCTCTTCTCCTACAATTTTATGAATATAACTTCCTTATATTTAGGAAACTAAATATGTTATGAATATAACTTCCTTATAAGTGTTAATTACGTTAATGGTCATTGAAGGTTAGAGAACTTGCACCAATGATTACTAATGTTATCTTCTTATAGTAGCAGTTCCTTAATATTTAATGGCGTCAGGTAGGACTTATCGTTAATATTTCTAACCAAGTGACCGTTTATATAAGAGTTAAAAACTTGAATAACTATTAATATACGAAAATAACTCCAATGACTAAATGTAGTTAAACTCCATATATATAATATAAACATGCAATTATTGGTCTGGAAAATTTTCATTTTTATCCTCAACTGAAATCAATTGTCTATAATCTGTCTACAAGGGATAATGACAAATTCGTCAAATGGTTTTGTCCTAATCAAATGGCTCCTACTTTCCACCTCTTGACAACTGTGTAACCGTTCACTGCATTTCAACATAATACTGTCCAATTTCTCTTAGGGTGTGTTTGATTACATTTATTTTCCATGGAAAATATCAGTTTTCCACCTAAATTTCTACTTGGAGTGTTTGATTGTTATTTTTTTCCATGGAAAACATTTTCCAACTTTTGAAAATATGCCTAATTTTCCTTGTTTTTAAGGAAAATATTTTCCTTGGGTAGAGGTGGTTTTTATTTTCCACAAAAGATGGAAAATATTTTCTTTTCTAGG